CGGCCAGCGTCAGGAATTACCCGAAGACGGGGCGGCCATACCGGAGGCGCAAGGACGGGCCCAAGACGCCGAAGATGATTCTGGACTCGGACATCGACTCGGAGGACGAGGTGGAGAGCGACATCGGCAGCGAGTAGGGTTCTCGGGCGGGGCAGAGAGCGGTCGACTAGAGGGGCGGTGTCCGGGATTCCTAGCTAATTGCGAGTCTAATTAGACGCATGTCGTAATTTCCACTTTCGTTTGGTACGGCAGACAGGGCTTGATGAGCGAGAACTCGGTGCTGCGGTCGCCGCTGTTGTGGCAGGGAGCAAGAAGCACAAGCGCGCAGGGACGAACGACAGGAACTGCCGTGTATGGCAATTGTTCCGAGCGCCTGAGAGATTGTGGCGCTGCGTGCCACGGGCGTCCGCTCCGATTCCCTCGCTTGTCTCTTTCCCTCACACTGCTCGCGCCCGCGCCCGACGATTCCGTACGCATCAATCGAGCGCTGTGGTCCGTACAATAATATATGATTATCTCGTGGATTGCATCCTCAGAGCGCGCGAGATGAAGGGAGTGCGGCATCGGCTTTTCGGGTCTGGATGCTCCGTGACCGGCGGCAAGGTGCGCGGGTTACGTTCGTGCGGCCGCCGTCTGCGCGCGGCCTGCGCGGAGCTCGGTAAGTGCAAATTTACGCGACAGCACTGTTGGGGCCTCTATCTGACATGTTTCAAATATTTTTGGGACCCTCCTGGGCGTGCAGGCAAGTGCCAAGAGGGTGGGCAGTAGATAGCCATTTCCTTTGCATGTACATGTACAGTAGACAGGCTCCTTGGGACAGTATATTCTTGAGTGAAGGCCATTCTGACAAGATAGTATTTCTGAGTCCACCGGCTGAGCTGAGCACACTTGAGCCAATCTAAGCTAAACCCCCGAAATGCGCCCTGAGAGAACTTGATGCACACAAGACATGGGATTGATTAATTCAGAAGTACAGGAGGATCACTAACTACGCGAGGACGGCGTCCCCGTTGCGAGGCTAGATGGCACTCTATTTTGGGGGTATGCACAACTGATGTCAGCAGAATTATCGTCAAGCAGGTGACAATAACTCACTTTGGGCGCGGCGAGATGCCGCGTGCCGCCGACGCACACGCTGTGGCAGCGGAGACGTGCGCCGCGTGTGCTGCACTCCGGGAGTGCAGCACCTTGGTATGGTGGGGCAGCCGGCAAACGCTGACCCACACGGCATCCTGTGCCAATCCCCCTCCCATGTCCCTACCTTGTGCCTCCTCCACCACCGCTAGCGTCTCGCTGCTCTTCCTGCACACACGTACCTGGTCACTCGCCGACACCCTCGCACCCTCGCCATCACCACGCCGTTGCGCCTGACTCTGGGAGGAGCACGAAGCTCAAATGATCAGCGGCGGTGGAGCACGCAAAGGTACGTACTCGGCTTGCCTCATAGCGGAATACCTCGAGCAGATGCTCGGGCAGTCCCCGCAACCTCCCGGGCAGCTTCGCATATCGCGAGACGAGGCAGGCTGCCGCAGTTCGTGCCCGCGCGCCCGTCCGTGTGTCGATACGGCACTGCTGAGCACCCCGCGAGATAGGTTCGCAAATGTGAGTTCTTGATCGAGACTGCGCACGCGAAGGCGTAGACTGACATACCTAGAGACGACGCAGCCAGTTGAAGCACCTCGCGGCGGACGGGAGACTCGCAGGAGCTCCTGCAGCGCGTGAGAGCGCGGACATCCCCGCGCGCGGCGCTTCGACGATGCCCTGGTGAGGCAGGTAGATCCTCCGGCGGCGAGGTCCCGAGGTACGAGCCCGAGGACCAAGTACGCTGGCGAACGCCCTGCGAGGTGAGTTCTTGGGTACACGAAGGCGTCGACTGGCGTACCTCGGGGTGGCGGGGGAGGTTGAAGCACCGCACGGCCAATGCGGTAGCTTCCGCGGCGCGTGAGAGCGCGCACGTCCTCGCGCGGCGCTTTGACGATCTCCCGGCGAGGCAAGTAGATCTTCCAGACGTCGCGGACGGACATACCTCCCGGGGACGCATGCTCGCGCGAATTGCGACGATACCTAGGACACCGGACGAAGATGAGTACCATTTCTGTCTCGAGGCCTCGGATGGGTCGTCTGACGTACATGTGCAGGGAATCACGGTGAGCACGAATGGCCGCCGGCCGTGGGGAGTCGGGAGGCGGTCAAGGTCGCGCCGGACGCGCCGGCGGCGCGGAGTCTGTCTGTGAGAGCACGGTGAGTCAAGGCGCCGGCTGAGACACCGCGCAGAGCTGACCTGAAGTGCGTCGTGCAGGACGTTCGTCCCAGATCGTCTTCCGAAACGAAGTACGTCGGCGGCCGCGAGCAAGGGCGGGACGAGGCGGAGTCGTGGCCGTGAACGCTTGAAGTGCGCGCGTAGATAAAGCCGCACCGAGATCGCTGTTCGGTGGCGCTGCGCCGCACCGTGCGCCCCGAGATCTGCGGACTCGCCTGCGCGGATGGAGCAGACGCGAGATCGCGCAGAGGGTCTGCGACGGGCGCGTCGAGGTCTGCAGCACGCGGCGCCCCAGCGCTCGCAGGTGGTGCCCGAGCGCAGGTGCGAGCAAGGAGAGTCGCGCGTGGGCGAGTCGACATGCGCAGGGCGTGCGAACTGGCGTCGTCTGTGCCCGGTTGGGTCCTGCTAGGGGCTCTGTTCGCGCTGTTGTACATACAGAATTGAGTGCATACCTGCTACGAGCCCCGCGGCGGCGTGTGGGACTTCGGTGTGCGCGCGAGATGGCGGCGTGAGGAGAGAGCGAAACCAGCGCCCATCGTGCGAGCGCGTCTTCAAGTTCCTCCCAATACACCCCCCGCGTCCAATACCCTCCCAAACCATGGCCATGTCCCTACTATGCTCCCAAACCACTGCCAATACACTCCCAATACCCTGCCCGACGCACGAATTCACTCCGGACACTTGAGGAGCCTGAGCACCTCCGCCCCCGCACCCCGCGATTGATCCGCTTCCCCACATGAGCGCTCCGGTGCCGCATCCAGCTGTGCTGGCACTGCGGGGTACCGCGTGTTGATTGCTTTCCAACCATGTTGAACTTCGCTATGCCTATGCATGTTCAACTGTACCGGCACACGTTGGGGATGTTGCGGTTCGTTGCGCGTGTGGAGGAAGATTTCATATAATTTAAACCGAACATAACAAGTACACCATCATCGTCTAGTATTACAGGACGTCGTTCGTGATACAACGGACGCGACGCGCGCACGCGCATGCACCCGCAGACGAAGCCATACGACTAGCGAAGTACGAAGAACAGTACATAGAAGGAGACGCGAACGAACGAGACGGGGCGGACAGTCCTACGGTTTTGAGTAATATACGGGCAGCAAGCAGCGAAGCGAGACGAGACGGAGACGCGAGGGCGCGGAGTATCTAGCAGCCATACACACAGGATAAACACAGAGGGACGCATATACAGAGGCGGAGTGGGGGTATTGTTCACTCGTCGTCGTCGTCCCCGTCACCGCTACCGCTGTCGGCCTTCTTGCCCTGCGAAAAAACGTAAGCAGCGGACAAAAGCTCTGATGAACGCGAGTACGTACATCGTAAGCGTTCTTCTCCTCCTCGGCCCGCGACTTGTCGGCCGCGGCCTGGTCGAGGTAGGGCTGAAACAGAGACGTTAGACCGCATATAACGACTATATAGAATGAACATACCTTCTTCTCGTCGTCGTCGAGCTCCTTCCACTTCGCACCGAGGAGTTTGCCAATTTCACCTATCACACGCGTCTTATCAGTGACCGATCCAGCTGACGACGGCGGCGACTAGCACTCACCGAAACCGGCGTCGGGGTTCTCAGCCTTAATCCTCTCCCGCCAGTCCTGGCTGAAGAACATGTATGCGGACAGCGCCCGCTTGGGTGCCTTCGGATCCTTCTTTCCCTTCGCTTTCGGCGCCTTATCCTGCTTCGTGGCCGCCCTCCTCTGCGAATAGAACGCTCAATCAGCACCGCTCAGCGCACATACAGCGGCCCCGAGGTGGGGGAACGCATATATGCGGGCAGAAGTGGACATATGCGCACCTTGGTCGTCTTGGTCGTCTCCTTCGGCATCTATAAGGGCAGGAGGAGTATGAGCAGGGCGTCCAACACGTCCCCGAGCGATGTGGAAGCGCGGCGAGGTCGTCGACACGGTCGCGACGCGTGCATGGGGGACGCGTCTGGGCGCGACGCGCCGCCCCGCGCCGCCTGCGCGTCGGCGACGACGACAGCGCACACGGATCGATCGCCTGCGAGCATCGGATAACGCGCAATGAGCACTCGTACGCACCTCTAACAAGTGTGGGCGGGGGGCAGGTGGTGGTCGCGGTGTGTTGTGGTGGGCGCAGAGGGCAGCGCTAGGCGCAGGCGTACGCAGAGGAAAATGGCTGGGCTGGCTGGCTGGCTGGTGAGAGGGCTCTGGCTGGGTGGGGGCGCAGGCTGCGCTGTGAGACTCCGCGTTTCCCGGACATTATCGTGGACTTGAGGTCGAAGGAGCGGTGTCGAGTGCTCGCAGCGGCGTCGTGAGAGGTGCAGAGCGCGTTCTCGGACGCGACTCGCGCCACACGATAGACGCCCAAGCCTCGCAATGACGCGCCTGTCTCGCCCTTGCTTCACTGCACTGACGACCTCACTCCCTCACTCACGCCTGCTCGAGCCCTGTCGCTGCCTTGGCCAACACTCGCTCGACCGCCCGTCACGCCCTTCCCGTGCCCGCGTCTGCACTCCAACGTTGCTCCCCGCCGCTGTCTTCCTCCGTTCCACCTGTGCTCGCGCAAGCGACTTCGGCCGGCCTATGCCCCCATCCCTCTCTCTTTTCCCCGCGCGCCCGCGAGTCCTGCTGCTGGAAACCGCTGTTTCCCCTCCATCCCTTTGCCAGTCCATCGCTCGCCCGGCCTCTATACGCAAGAAACGTCCAAATGGCGCCTCCGGTACGTTCCCCGTCGATTCCCGCGCTGCCCCTGCCGTCGTCCGGGCGCGGACGCTCGATCACCGAATCGTCGATTTCTCCTCGACGAGTGCGCAGATTCGCTTCGTTCTTTCATTCATACGCTCTGGCTGTACTCGCACGATAGCGTGATGTCATTTGTTTTCCCCGCACTCGCCGGCAACCGGCACTTCTTCGACAAATACGGCCGTCCCCCTCAGTTATTTCGCGAATGTCGACGTGAAATGGATACCACGCGATGCTCGCACCCTCAACATGCTGTGCTCATCAAGTTTCAACGCGCCAGGTACAGTACTTCAAGCCCGAGCCTCGTATTCATGTCTACTGACGGGCGTCTAAAGGGACACAGTACTTGACCACACTCTCGCACGTCGCACGAAGGTCGGAAACACTCGTGGCGGGCGGATTCGAACGTCCCGAGGCAAGTCCTCTACGCGTGATATCGCACTCACCGGCAAAGGTACCTACTCGACACATACCGCCATCACACCGACATTTCTCGCGAGATTCGACGTGACATCGGTACCACACGGCGCTCGCGCCTGCAACATACTGTGCCCAACAAATTTCAACGGCGCCAGGTACGGTAATACATGCAGGAGCCTCGTGCTACGTCTACTGACGGGCGCCTACGTATGACAGATACCAGTCCCCTCTCTCGCACCCGCGGAGGCCGACAGCACCCCCGGCTCGCGTGTGCGAACGTCCCGACGCGCCCGCTCGACGCCCACGCCGTCACGCTCCGCACTCGCAGGTGAGTGCGGTGATGCACGCCTGCGTACCTGGTGTCTGTCAGCGCGGGGAACGAGTGCAGCGGCGGACGGACGTACGCACCTCCGTCGAGTCGAGCCGCAGCGCGCCGCACCACGCGCTGCGCTCTGCGCCACAAGTGGCCGCGTCGGCCGCGTGGGCAGCGGTGCGGGCGGACACGCACACGTGCCACGATGCGGGAGGGAGCACATAGCGGAGAGCAGAGCAGAAAGCAGAGCAGAAAGCGAAGACGAAAGCACGGGAGGCCCGGTGCAGCCCCCCGCCTGTCGTCGCCCGCAATATATACCCGTCCCGTGCGCTAATCTTTGTTTCGTTTGTTTGTGTGTCGCCGGCGTCCCGCGC